TGTGCTAGGGGAGCGCTCTACTGCTGAGCCACAATCCCAGCCCCTCAGCAACCCTTTTTATATTTTATTTTAAGACAGGGTGTTGCTAAATTGCCCAGGCCGACCTTGAACATGGAATCCTCATGCCTAGAGTCTAGGATTATGTTTAAATCTGGTTGGCTGATAAATGGAGAATGGTTAGGAGTGAGAATAGTTAATTTAAGAGGGATATGAGATGGGGTATAGTTTTGTGGTACAGCTTTTGCCTAGCATGTGCAAGGCTCCAGTTCTGGGTTTGATTGCCATCATCACAAAAATAAATAAATAAATAAAAGGATGGTAGTCACTTGGACTAGATTGGTATCGATGGGAATGAAGAAAGTGGATATATTTTAAAAATGTACATTTTAGAATTAGGACTGGATGTGTTAAATTGGGAGTAGGAAAGTGTGAGGATTGCCAAGGATGGTGATGATGGAAGTTAAGAGAGTTAGTATAGACAGTAGCATAGAAGTTTATGGGAGAAATGATGCTTTAGATACTGAAATAGGGATGTGTAATAGATAAGTCTTTTGTAATGATCTGGGTTGGAAATAATGTATGTAGCATATAAATTATGTATATACACACACACACACACACACACACACGGGCGCGTGGCGTTATTTTTAATTTTTCATTTTCTTTTGGTATGGAAGTATTTAATCCAGTAATGATTTTTAACCACTAAGCCATATTCCCAGCCCTTTTTATATTTTATTTAGAGATAAGGTCTTGCTAAGTTGCTGAGGCTGGCATTCAACTTGTGATCCTCCTGCCTCAGCCTTCTGAGCCACTGGGGTTAATTGGTGTGCACCCCATGCTTGGTTATATAGATAGTATTTAAAGACAGAAATTAGATGAGATCAGCTGGAGACTGGAAAAGATGGCATAGGACTGGGTCTTGGTAAATTCTAGCATTTATAGATTAAACAGAATGGGAAATCAGCAAAGAAAGCCTAGGGAAAGAGATCATGAATGGTGTGATAAATGGCGTTGATAAAAGGTTTCTAAAGACAGTTATTTACTGTGTTGATCTAGTTGGAGTAAAGGAAAGGGGTTAGTACCTGCCTTTCATCTATTTGTTTTTGGTTAGTACCTGCCCTTCATCTACTTGTTTTTCTGTAGTGTCTACTACTTCTTCCATTAGCTGTTTGTTTATTTTATATTTCTTCAGTACACTGTATGTTTCTATGAGGTCATGGAACTTGGGTGTAATATTCAGTCCTGTAATCTCAGCTTCTTGCATAATGTCCTGCACCAAGAACATGTAACTGTATAATTTTCAGACTATATAATTATCACTCTAGATGTTAATGTGGAGTAAATTTTTTTTATATTCAACAATAAAATTCTCTGTGAGAATTTGTTTGCAGAATGTTTTTGGGGAAAGTCTTTAAAGAGGAAATTAAAATAAAAATCAGTATATTTCATGTGAACACCTGCACAAAAATACTAAAACTTAGGCTGAAAAGAGATGACATGTATAGGTAGTGATTTGTTAGAATGGAGGGGAATTAAATGGCAAAACATACAAGAAGTAATTTAACTTGAATGTTCAGTATTGTAATATAAAACTTGGAAAACAGAAAATGTGTAAGGAGTAGCTCTTATTACTCAATGATAACTGGTTTTAGCATTTTTGGTGTGTTTTAGTTTCAGTCTTTTCTGTGGGTTGCATTGCTTATCATATATTTATTTAAATATGATCATATAGTTTTTATTCTACTTTTATTATGTTAAAGCTATTGATTTTTCCCTCTTCCATTGAAATATAAAATGTACAGAAAAGTGTTTATAAGGATACAGTTTTCACAAACAGCACACTTATATAAAACAGCAACCAGATCAGGAAATAAACATTATTAGCACCTCGGAATCATCCCAGTCTATTCATTATTCATTTTTATTGACTTAGTATGTGTCTAGCTACTTAACAGAACATGTATACAAATAAATTATTACTGAAAAGTAGAAGTAGATATCATCACAGAGCATATTGTTTTTGAGCTGCTCCTACCAATGTAGGTTAAGAATGCTAGTTGAGAGAAATGGAAAGGACATTGCAGACAGATGCAAACATACAAACATTTTTAGGATTTGTCATTATTTGTTCAAGTTCAGTATAGGAGAGTGATGGGCAATAAATCTGGGATCAGGTGACAAAGTCCTTTGTACAAGCCAAGCACTGGAAGAGTATTAAAGTTCTTTGGATCTGTTATTTTAAATTATACTTATTTATAGAAACTTTAAAAAGTTTGTTTTTCCCCCATTTGTTTGTAGGCACACAAGTCTCTGAATTTTGTTTCAACACTGCTCCAAATTACTATGTCAGAACAACTGGATTTACCTGTAAGACAGGCAGGTACGTTTCCTGAATTATTTTCTTGATTGTAAAGATATTGTTTAAAAGGTTTGTAAATTGAATAGCAGAAATATTTTGGGGTGGCTCTTCATGATTTTCCTGAAAACAAATTGCCCTCAATAAACAGCAAGTGTCTTGATATTTGGTGTCAATTTCAAAGGATGGATGGATTGATTGATTGATTGATATTTTTTTGGTGATTTTGGGGATTGAAACCAGGGCTTCAGACTTACTATTGGTAGAGTGCTTACTCGACATGTATGAGGCGCATAGTTCGATCCTCAGCACCACATAAATATAAGTAAATAAAATAAATGTATCATCCATTTGCAACTAAAAAATATTTTTTAAAAAATGCTAGTAATGCCAATTGTCCTTGTTCCAATGTGTGCAGGACTTCCAATAAGAATTGCTCAGTTGGTAGAGTGCTGCCCAAGGCCCTGGTTTCAATCCCCACTACTACCTCAAAAAAATAAAAAAATAAAAAGAATTGCTAATCAAAGAACCAGAATTTAGGAATTAATTAAATTTGAATAGTTTCCCTTGCTGTGTCTCTTCTACTTTTGTGGTCCATACCCCACTAGCCTCCCTGGCTTAAGGGCTGGGTTAAAAACACCACTACCACCACCTTGTTAGCCACCTAAATTTTCCCATATCAGTTTGGTCACTTCATCAAATAGCTATGTACAAAGGTAGTAATATAATAGTTGACAAGAAATTGTAATCTTTTTTTTTTTCCCTCCTGTACTAGGGGGTTGAACCCAGGGCTTTGTGCATACTAGGCAAGTGTTATATCCATACTCCTTTTTAAAAACATTTTTGTCTTGAGACAGGATCTTGCTAAGTTCTCTAGGCTGGCCTTGAACTTGTTATCCTCTTGCCTGAGCCTCCCAAGTCTTGGAGCTGCAGGCATGCACTATGGCATCTGTGATCTGTCATTTTTGAACATAGCAAATTCTCCCATAAAATAACATGATTTTAAATTACAGGTAGCACTCACCTGTAATCCTAGTGGTTCTGGAGGCCAAGACAGGAAAATTGTGAGTTCAAAGCCAGCTTTAGCAGAAGTGAGGTGCTAAGCAACTCAGTGAAACTCTGTCTCTAAATAAAATACAAAATTGGTTTGGGGATGTGGCTCAAGTGGTAGCGCGCTCGCCTGGCATGCGTGCGGCCTGGGTTCGATCCTCAGCACCACATACAAAGATGTGTCTGCCGAAAACTAAAAAATAAATATTAAAAAATTCTCTCTTAAATAAATAAATACATAAATAAATAAAATACAAAATAGGGCTGGGGATGTGGCTGCATCCAGTGCCCATGAGTTTAATCCCCAGTACCCCACCCCCCAAAATGAATTTGAAGTGCTGTGTGATTGAAACACTTGGGATTTATAGATTTAAGAACCTTTATAAACTATGATTTTTCTTTTTTTTTTTTTTAAAGAGAGAGGGAGAGAGGAGAGAGAGAATTTTTTAATATTTATTTTTTTAGTTTTCGGCGGACACAACATCTTTGTATGTGGTGCTGAGGATCGAACCCGGGCCACATGCATGCCAGGCGAGCGCGGTACCGCTTGAGCCACATCCCCAGCCCCACTACTATGATTTTTCTATGATATACATTTATTTTTTATCACCTTTGTGAGATTAGTTTTAGAAATTATTTTAGTGTGAGATACTTCTGTCTTCAGGTTTTTTGGTTAAAAAACTGTTAAAATTAGTTTAACTATTCTATAGAAAACTGATTATTGCCGGGCATGGTGGCATAATCCCAGCCCCTCAGGAGGCAGAGGCAGGAAGACAACAACTTCAATGCCAGCCTCAGCAACTCAGCAAGATCCTAAATAACTTAATGAGACCCTGTCTCAAAATAAAATATTAAACGGGCTGGGGACATTGCTCAATGGTACCCAGCATTCAATTCCCAGTAATCCCCTCCCCCCCCAAAATTTTTTGCTTCTAGTGTTTATTTGCCAGGTTCTCTTAGATTTAGTGTTCAATTATGTTGGTTATTACTGTCACTGAGTAGTAATTGCTGTAAATGAGAGTTAATTTTGTTTTTTTTTTATTATTAACTTTTAACATAATTGAAAAAAGCTGGATACAGTAGTATATGCCTATAATTCCTGCTGTTTGGGAGGCTGAGGCCAGCCTGGGCAACTTGAGGGAGACCCTGTCTCAAAATAAAATGTCAATTACTCGGGATATAACTCATTGGTAAAGTACCCTTGAGTTCAATCCCTTGTACCACCAAAAAAAACCAAAAAACCGATATTGATTGTAGTATTTTGTTTGTAATACAAATTTTTTTGTTTGTTTTATGTTTGTAACTAAAAATGATTTGGAAGAAATAATTGAGGTATGGACTTTGTAAAGGGACATTAACATTGCTTTCATAGTAAATATTCTTTTATCAAACTGATCCATATTTTAGGTGTTATCTATTTGAAAAATATGATAACACAGTATTGGCCTGATCGAGAAACAGTACCAGGGGATATATCCCCTTACACTATTCCAGAAGAAGATCGACACTGCATTCGAGAAAATATTGTAGAAGCCATCATTCACTCTCCTGAGCTTATCAGGTATGTAATTTTCAGGTTCTTTTGTTTGCCGGGGGTGTGGGGTGTTGGTGTTGGTGGGGGTGGTATCTATTTAGAATACTTTATTTATTTATATGTGGTGATGAGGATCAAACCCAGGGCCTTTCACGTGCGAGGCGAGCGCTCTACCGCTGAGCCATAACCCCAGCCTGCAAACCTGCATTTTTATAGCAGAAAACTTATCAAATAAATGTTTTTATACGACAGTGTCTTTGAGTAATTTTCTTACTACAGTTAAATTTTACATTCGTAAAACTTGGAAAACATCCTGTTGTCAGATAAAATGGCCGGGTATGGTGGTGTATCCCTGTAATACCAATGGCTTGGGAGGCTGAGGCAAGGAGGGTCCTGAGTTCAAAAGCCAGCCTCAACAACCTAGCCAGACCCTTTGTCTAAATAAAATACAAAAAAGAGCTGGCGATGTAATTTAGTGGTTGACTGTCCTTGGTTTAATTCCTTTATTTAAGCAAATAAAAAACAACAAAACTGTGAAATGCTGTCATATACTATATGTATGTATGTATTTTGGTACTGGGGACTGAACTCAGGGGTCTTAACTATTGAGCCACGTCCCCAGCCCTTTTTATTTTTTTGAGACATAGTCTCATTATGTTGCTGAGGCTAGCCTCCAGATTGTGATCCTCCTGCCTCAGCCTCCCAAGTCACTGGGATTATAGGTGCGTCACCATACCCAGCTCATATACTTTATATTGTGTAGTCTTTCAATATTTGAAAGCTCCTTTCTATTTATTATTTTACTGAGGTCCTGGAGTGAACCTAGGGCCTCCCACATGCTAAGCAGACACTCTACCATGGGCTATACCCGCTGAAAGCTCTTATATATTTATATTTTGCAAAATTTATAACAAGTGTGGTTGTTCTTAAATGATACTTACTAGTTTCCGGGATTTAAAAAAATCTGCACTCATAACAATTATTCAGTTTCTTTTAAGTTGGTGTAGGAATAGATAGGTTTTGCTGAATGACTTATTTTGAATTATTATTTTAAATTATTTGTATTGCATGTATTTACAAACATCAGGTAGATTATTTGAAATTAGGTATTGTCTGAATAGCCCATTTTCCCTTTACGAGTCAGTGAAATTTTATCTTTTAGTATTTCTTTCTTTTTACTATATATATTTTTTACTTACAGGGTACAGCTCACTACATGCATTCATCACATCATCAAGCATGATTATCCAAGCCGCTGGACTGCCATTGTGGACAAGATTGGCTTTTATCTTCAATCTGATAACAGTGCTTGTTGGCTAGGAATTCTCCTTTGCCTTTATCAATTGGTGAAAAATTATGAGTAAGTGTCTTTCTCATGGAATTTCAAGAAGTAGGAAGAGTTTTGAAATTTCACATACCAATTTGAAAATGTAAAATTATATTTGACATAGCTCATGAAATTAATGAACTAAATGATAATTTTAATTTAGTTTTTTTTTTTAAATTTTTTATTTTTTGTGGTAATAGGGCCTTGTAAATGCTAGGCAAGCACTCTGCCACTGAGTTAAATCCTAGCTGTATTTTATTCTTTAAGATAAAGTCTCGCTGAGTTGCCTAGGTTGGCCTCAAATTTGGGATCCTCCTGCCTCAACCTTCTGAGTAGCTGGGATGACAGTCTGTGTCTCCCACACCTGGCTCCTTTTAAAGCTATGTGTATTGAGGGATTCATACTTAGCTATTTCACTGTTTGCATATTTAAGCATATTATAAATCATGTAAGGTAATTAGTATCAGAAATATTTCTGGTTAAGGAATCATTTTATATATGGGTTTAGGAATCAGGAAAAAAACCCTAACCTTGTAAGTTAAGGTATAGCACTAACAGTGCTAAACGAAATGTTGAAAGGGTTTTCCTTTAAGCATATGGTAACAGTAGTAAAACTGGTAGGCAATTGAAAAATGTGGAAAAATTATGAGGAAGGCTTTTTAAATTCTATGATGGTGATTTTATTTCCAGTCCTAACAGCTACACAGATGCCTTTGTGATACCTCCAAATCTAGGAGTTGTAGTTAGCCTCCAATACCATTTTTGGTTCCCATATCAAAGTAGCTGATAAACTGCTGCTGTTGTTCTGAGCAGTAGAGAAAATATACCATTTACAGCACTGGTGCTGGTGTTTTCTTGTGTTCCCACTAGCTGCCCATCTTCCTGCTAAGGAATGTTCCAGCTGTTGCTCCAACCTCTGTCAGAATGCCAGTTGTTGTAGTTCTGGTAAGTGAGTGACTAAAATCAGAGAGAATAACAATGATAAGCTGTCAGTTGTCATTGAGGAGGCTCAGGTCTCTCCTGTTTTAAAATCTTAGCAGGAGGGAATTTGATAGGCATTTTCAAGTGGGAAATATAGGAGGCTGCTACAATACTAGAAGTCCAGGTTTTTTTTAGGCAGTGTTTATGGAACACAGGTATTCAGAAGGGATCTGTGTGGACTGATGCAGTTCTAAGAAAATTCATGGAGATACTTGAATTTGGTGGCCTTCAGGAACATAGATTCTCAGGAGTTGCTTGTCTTTGAAGGAGCACAAAGAGCATTTGAGAGGAAGGCATGTCACACTGAAGTGAGTAGTATGAACAAAGAAAGATGCAAAGGTGGAAATGAGACACTGTATTAAATGGATAGAAAGGAAATCACTTAATAATATGCATAGTTTCTTATGAAAGATTGGGAATAATAGTTTGGACTAGTAAATTGGGACCATATTAAATAAGGTTTTATATGACAAAAGAAAATATGGATGTGATTTTTTTAACATTTATTTTTTAATTGTAGTTTGACACAACACCTTTATTATTTATTTATTTATTTTTATGTGGTGCTATAGATTGAACCCAGGGACTTGCACGTGCTAGGCAGATGATGTACCACCGAGCCAAAACCTCAGCCCTGGATGTGATCTTTTAGATACTGAGGAAGCATTGAATAGTTTATGAACAGAAAAGTGATAGTAGACTTGTATCAGTGTCACATTTTCACACTTTTGGGAATTTTCAGGCCTTGGAGGGAAATTATATGTTTGGCATTAAAATTTACTTTCTAGGGCTAGGGCTGTCATTTAGTGGTACCACCCTTGCCTGGCATGTGTGAGGCATTGGGTTTGATTCTCAGCATCACATATAAATAAATATAATAAAGATCTATCAACAACTAAAAAAATATTTTTTAAAAATTTGTTTTCTACTACCTCCCAACTTCTAGACCATTATTTAGCACAGTGAGGGGAGGTAGCAGAGAAGAAATTCTAACATGGCGTGAGTATTCACAGTCATCTGGGATGGATAAGTGGAGAGTGCTGCATAGTATAGTTTTCTTTTATTAAAAGAAAATTTTGTCTATAGACATTTGTAGTTTGTGTAGTCAGACTAGAGAGTACAAATGGCTTTCTTTCATAAAATGTTGCTGTTTTATCGACTCAAAGGTATAGGTAATCCTTTTTAAATATATGCTGAATATAATTTCTTAGGATGTTAAAATAATGTTTAAAATGAGTTTTCAATTTTGTTAGTTTTTTAGTTGTAGATGGATACAGCATCCTATTTATTTATTTATCTATCTATTCATCTATCTATCTATCTATGGTGCTGAGGATTCAATCCAGTGCCTTACAGGTGCTAGCCAAGTGCTCCACCACTGAGCTACAGCACTAGCCCTGAGTTATCAGTTTTGTAAATAGTTTTACCAAGCATTAATGTGAACCTTATTTTTGATGATACTGGGAATTGAACTCGGGGAGCTCTAACACTGAGCTACATTCTCAGACACTAACCTCCCACCCCCGCCCCATGCTTTCTTTCTCAGTTTCTAATCTTCCTGTGTCCGTCTGTCTCCTAGTTGTGGGGATCACTGAGATTACAGGCATGCACCCTGAGCCCGGATCTTTCTTTGTTAGCTTTCTGCCTGCCTTTCCTTCTTTGTTCCCTTCCTTCCCCTCTTTCTTGTCTTTCTTTACTCTCTGTCTCTTTCTCTCTGTTGGAGATCCAAATCCAGGGTCTCACACATGCAAGGAAAGCACTGTACCACTGAGTTATATACATCCCAGTACTGAACTTTTCTTTTTTTGTTTTTAAAGAGCTCCTCTTTTTTTTTTTTTTTTTTTAAGAGAGAGAGAGAGAAAGAGAGAATTTTTTAATGTTTATTTTTTAGTTATTGGCGGACACAACATCTTTGTTTGTATGAGGATTGCACCCTGGTCGCACGCATGCCAGGCGAGCGCACTACCGCTTGAGCCACATCCCCAGCCCCAGTACTGAACATTTCTTTGAAAATTTATCTTGGTTCTCATGTCATCCGAATAGAAACAAAGAATATACATTATAAAAAGAATCTTCATTTACTTTTAAAAAATGTACTCAGATATTCAGGGTTTTTTTTGGTACTGGGTTTGAACCCAGTGGTATTTATCACTGAACTATATACACTCCCAGACATTTTTTTTTTTTTTTTTTGAGATTGGATCGACCACTAAATTTCTGAAACTGGCCTTGAACTTGATACTTGGGCCTCAGCTTCCCGAGTTACTGGGATTACAAGTATGAGCCACTGAGCCTGGCTCAGATGTTTAATTTGTAAATAGATTTTCTCTGAGAGAAGAAGGGTACAAACAAATAAAACTGGGACCATTGATGAGAACTGTTTTAAAGCAATTTAAAATAATCATGTATTCCAAAAAGATAAGCTTTGGTTATTAATTCTATAACCAGTAATTTGTATTTTACAAATCTAGTTTCCCTGATGTCTCCTTAGTAATAGAAACTGGAATTTCATTTCTATAATTCTAACCTATAAAATGATTATTTGATTTTTAAAAAATAAACTAACAGATCTTTAAAAAATTTTGTTAAAATGATAAGTAATATATACAGAAATGTTCCAAGTAGATCAGCAATTGTTTACCCATAATCCCTAGAACAAAGTAGAATTCAGAATTTTTTGGATTTTAGAAAGGTAATAAGGTCATCATACTAGTTAAATAATACTGGTACATAGTAGCACCCAGTAGCCCAACATATTATATATCTGCTGAAAAAATATGTGAATATTGACCCCAAATGGGATAAATGAAGATTGTATATAGTTTGTTGAGTACTTTTTATTGCCACATGGATGGTAGAACTTCTGGTTTAACAATGCTTTTTAGACATTTATTTTCTGTTTTGTACATGCCATTTCTGCCTTAATTTTGTTTGTAATGTGAATAACTTACTGATGGTAAAATTTAATTGGTTTTGTTTATTCATCAGTTACTACTGTATAAGTTAGTTTGTTGTAGCTCCTTATTTGTACCAGTATTCACACTTAGAGACTATATAGTGATTTGGATCTCATTTGGTTAGATTTATGCCTCCATGTGTAATACTGGAAAAGATATTTAACTTCAGGGACTCATTTCTCTCAGTTCTAAAAGGGAGAATACTAATGGGGGACTTGAATATTATTGACCTCATTATAAATGTTCAGTCTATATTAGATATTCTGTTTTTGAGGTTTTATTCAAGTTGCTTTTGTTTGTGGTTTTATTCCAGAATAGGTTTTTTCTTTTTCTAGATGGATTAGAAAGCGTTTACTTATATTTGTGTAAAAAAAAGGTAGTTTTTATGTATATATAAATTGACGAAATAAATTCTTACAGAATTAGTTTGTATTCCTATCCACAGGTACAAGAAACCAGAAGAGCGGAGTCCATTGGTAGCAGCAATGCAGCATTTCTTACCAGTTCTAAAGGATCGCTTTATCCAGCTTCTTTCTGATCAATCTGATCAATCTGTCCTCATCCAGAAACAGATATTCAAGATCTTCTATGCTCTTGTTCAGGTAATTTGTATAAAGTAGATTTTATAATATAAAGTCAGTCTATACTTACCACATTAAAAATTAAAGAATTTTGGGCTGGGCCTGTAACTCAGTCACTCAAGGTGCTTGCTTGACGTGTGAGGCACTGGGTTCAATCCTTAGCACCACATAAAAATAAATAAAATAAAAAATAATTTTAAAAAATTTTGAAGAATATTAGTATATAAATAATGATTCAATGGATGATTTGCTAGTAAGATAATATTTGCCAGAATTAAAAGGATATAGCCTAATTCGCAGCATACATAAACAATCTCAAGTTCTCTTAAAAGTGTTCAGCACTACAAAAGTAGTCTTTGTTTTTTTTTTTTTTCCAAGGTCATAAAGTCTTGCTCTGCTGTCTACATTGGTTTTGAACTCATGGGTTAAAGTCATCCTTTTTCCTTAGCCGTCTAAGTAGCTGGGAATATAGAGAGCACCACCATTCTCACTTAAACAAATTTGAGTCCTGGCCTGGGGATGGGGCTCATTAGTAGTTCGTTTGCCTAGCACACGTGAGGCACTGGGTTCAATTGTCAGCACCACATTAAAAATAAACAGACAAATAAATAAATAGATGTATTGTGTTCACCTACAACTTAAAACTAAATATATTTTTAAAAAGAAGAAGAATAAAAATTTGAGGCCAACTTGGTGTGGATGCATGCCTGCAATCCCAGCACTCTGGATGCTGAGGTGGGAAGACGAAGCTTCAAGCCCAGGAGTTTTGAGACCACCCTGGAGAACATAGCAAGACTCCATCTTAAAAACAACAACAAAAATAATTCATGAGTCTAAAACATATGACTTGATTACAGTTAAAAAAGTATCTTTTGTATAATATTGTTCTTAATCTTCCTTGAATACAAAATAACCCACTATGGTATTGGTTGAATTTGTATTGTCAGTGGAATGTAATTACTTTTAAAATAGATTCTTAAAATTCAAGTTCTGCTTTTTTGTGTCATGTTGTTGCATTTTATCAGGATCTTTTGGTTCAAGTCATACCATTATTAAAAATCTTAAGACTTGTGATTATACCTCTCCTAAGATGTAGTTGATTTTTGTTTTGTGTTTTTGTGGTACTGTGGGATTGAACTAAATCCTAGTTCTTTTTATTTTTTATTTTTTAGATAGGGTCTTTCTGAGTCTCAGGGGCTGGCCTCAAAATTGTGATTCTCCTGTTTTTCCCGAATAGCTGGGATTATGGGCATATACCACCACACTTGGCTTTCTAGGTCTTTAAAGATATTCTAATCATCTCCCAGTCTGGATCTTCCTTACCTAATTCTTTAGTTAAATGCCACTTGAATGGAATATAGCTGTAGACTTTTCATATTTTCCTAGCTGGTATGATCACAATTTTAGATTAAAATAATCCTTGAAAATTATCAGAGTATAGGACAAAATAAGTATGTTATCCTCCCAACTCATTCTCTTAGCCTAGCACATCCTTATATCAAAATGTCTCACTTGTGAAAATAGATGCCTTAAAATCCTAAATAGGATATTTATTTTATCAGCCTACTGAAAGGATGTATACCAGGGATGGAAGAATGAATGAGCAATAAGAAATTAATTTTTGCGATTACCTCATTAAGAGAGAGACCTGTAATTATCTTTGGGGATCCCAGAGAAAAGCACTTGATAAAATTAAATAACAATTCCTGCTTTAAAAAGAAACAAAAATAAAAAACTGTTTGAATTATAAAATAGAAATTTCCTTAACTTGATAAAAGGTATTTACTAGAAATTTACAGTAAATATACTTATATATGAATATAAGACTTAATCCCAGGAAGTTGGAACAAGACAAGGATGTCCATGGTCACTGCCAGTGTTTTCCATTATAGATAAATAATCAAAGAAATTTCCTTATGTACTAATAGGAATACGTTGATTGAATGAAATACTCTTATAAGCAGGGTATGGTGGCCCATGCCAGTAATCTCAGCAGCTCAGGCGGCTGAGGCAGGAGGATCATGAGTTCATAGCCAATCTCAGCAATAGTGAGGTGCTAAGCAACTCATTGAGATCCTGACTATAAATAAAATACAAAAAAGGATTGGGGATGTGACTCAGTGGTTGAGTGCCCCTGAGTTCAATCCCTGGTAGCCCCCCTTCCGTTAAACAAGGAAATACTTTTACATGGTATTGTGTGAAGGGTAAATGGAAGTGGAATAGTAGAATTTTCTTTAGTAAGATTTAAAAATATTAATTCCTGATTTTTATTTAGTATACACTGCCACTTGAGCTGATAAACCAACAGAACCTGACAGAATGGATAGAAATTTTGAAGACCGTTGTGAACAGGGATGTTCCTAATGTAAGTTTCTATGTGTTATTTTATTACAAAACATAAATATTTAATAATCTCTTGGATTTTCACTGATAGTTCCTGTAACATTCTTTATGAACTTCTGTAATTCATGATGCAGTTTTTTTCTAGATACATGGATTTCTTTTGTTTATATGTATACTAAGTAAGTTGTGAAAGATTATTTCATATACTATTGGTTAAGTGCTTGTGTGTATTTGCTTATTTTATCCTAATTTTTCTGTTTCTTAATTTCTCTGTTGTTTATGGTACTGGGTTTTGAACATTCTTGGCAAACAGTTTATTACTGAGCTATATCCCAGCCCAACTTCTCTCTTCTTAACTAGATGAATTTAGGGTTAGCTGGGTGTGGTGATGCAAGCCTATAATCACAGTGACTTGGGAGGCTGAGACAGTAGTATGACAAGTTTGAGGCCAGCCTCAACAATTTAGTTGACATCCTATTTTAAAATAAAGAATTTTTAAAAGAGATAGAGGTATAGTTTAGTACTGCGTTCCACCCGTCCCCTCATCTTTATGGTTGGATTTTAGCCCAGTAATTTGTCAAACATCTGTGGACAGAGGGAAAACCTGATTCACAAGTTGGCAAGACATTGTACTTACATTATTTTTAAAAAATTATAATTTATGACATAAAATATATCCATTTACCATGTATAACATAGTGGGTTTTGGTACAGAGTTGTTACATTTTACATTTTATCATAAGTTTTAAAATTACCATAATATTTTTATATAATCTAATTTTTATTTTCCACATTTTTTTTAAAGAGAGAGTGAGAGAGAGATAATTTTTTAATATTTATTTTTTTTAGTTTTCGGTGGACACAACATCTTTTGTTTGTATGTGGTGCTGAGGATTGAACCTGGGTCGCATGCATGCCAGGCGAGCGTGCTACCGCTTGAGCCACATCCCCAGCCCTATTTTCCACATTTTTTATTGGTGTATTATAACTACACATAGTGGTGGGATTTGTTGCCACATATTCATACATGTATATAATGTAACAATATGATTTGGCCAGTTTCACTCAACTGTATAATCTAGTATCATAGAAAGTAAATACAACTTGTAAATACAAGTTCCTCCTGAACAATTAGTATGTTTTAGGTTCTATTATATAATTTGCTTATTTGGTCCTCAAAATAATCCTTCTGGCTTTTATATTAAACTTAAGTATGGGACAGTCATGTAACTTCTTAGTCAGTGGAATGTTTAATAATTGCCTAAAGAAGACTAGGTTCTTATTTTGCAGTTTACTTATTTTTTCCCCTGTACTGGGATTGAACCCAGGGTCACAGCCATGCTAAGCAGACACTTTTCCACTGAGCTATATTCCCAGTCCTTATTTAAATTTTTATATGTGTGTGTGGTAGTCCTCCCACTCCTCCCAGTACTGGGCTTTGAACCCAGAGGCACTCCACTACTGAGCTACATATGTTTTTTTTTTTTCATTTTGAGATAGAGTTTCACTGAGTTTTTAAGGCCTCAATCAGTTGCTGAGGCTAGCCTTGAACTTGCAGTCCTCCTGCATTAGCCTCTTAAGTTGCTGGGATTAGAGGCTTCTGCTATTATATTCAAAAAGATTTGAATCCGTGCAGAAGACAAAATATTTTTCCCCCTCTATAGGAAATCAGGTTGGTGTGTATTTTTAATTGGTACAAAATATAACTAAAATGTCTTATATATTTTACACCTTTTTGTGGTATAATTTATATTCAGTAACATTCACCAGATTATAAGTAAATAATTTAAGTGGGTTATTTAAGTTGTATGATCAGTATAACAGTCACCCTAGAATGTTTGTTCATGCCTGGTTCTTATCATCTGTTATTGATTTTTGCCTTGTATATTTCTTTTCTCTTTTTATTTTTTTTTAGAAGTAATTGAATACAATACTTTTATTTTATTTATTTTTATTTGGTGCTGAGGATTGACCTCAGGGCCTTTCACGTGCTAGATGAGCGCTCTAACGCTGAGCCACAACCCCAGCTTCTGTCTTGTATATTTCTTTTTTAAAAAATATTTATTTCTTTTTAGTTTTAGGTGGACACAATATCTTTATTTTACATTTATGTGGTGCTGAGGATCGAACCTAGTGCCTCATGCATGGTAGGCGAGTGCTCTACCACTGTGCCACAGCCCACAGCCCTAAAATATTTATTTTTTTAGTTTTAGGAGGACACAGTATCTTTGTTTTTATGTGGTGCTGAGGATTGAACCTAGTGCCTCATGCATGGTAGGCAAGCATTCTACCACTGAGCCATATCCCCAGCCCTGTATATTTCTTGATATACAAGTAATCTTATGTTTCTTCTTTTGCTTAATATATTAATGAGATTCATTCATATTTTAAAGGAGATTGTTTATTTGCTGTAAAATATTATCCCTTTATGTAGATATACCTCAGTTTATGATATTTTCTCATGTTGATAGATAATCAGGATGGTTTTCACATATAAGTATTTTAGATAGAACCAAAATGAACATGTTTGAGACTTTTTTTTACTAATTTCCAAAATGACTTTCAAAGTAGTTGTAGCATTGTACTCTCTGGCAATATATGACAGCTTCTTCTGTTTTAATTCTTATTTTTCTATTAGATCAGTGTAACAGCTCATTATTTGAATGGTTGAATAGTAGTCTTATGAAAGTGATGTGATTAAACATTACCTTATTAGTAAATATTTAGGTTCTTTACACTTTTTTGCTTTTATGAATAGTATTGTGAATATTCTAATACATAAAACATTGTTTATCTATACTGATATCCAAAACTAGATTTTGGAAATGGAGTCTCTTATGTCCTTCCCATTATGAACTATTCTGATGTTTTTTTTTTTTTTTTTTTTTGGCGGGGCAGGGAATGGGAGGGTACTGGGGATTGAACTCAAGGTCATTTGACCACTGAGCCACATCCCAACCCCCGTTGGTATTTTATTTAGAGACAGGGTCTCACTGAACTGCTTAGCGCCTCACTTTTTACTGAGGCTGGCTTTGAACTTGCAATCTTCCTGCCTCAGCCTCCAGAGCAGCTGCAATTCCAGGTGTGCACTACTGAGCCCTGCTGTTCTGGTTTTGATTAAGATACTATTGTCTGGGCTGGGGTTGTAGCTTAGTGGTAGAGCACTTGCCTAGCATGTTCAAGTCACTGGGTTTGATTCTCAACACCACATATAAGTAAATAAAATAAGTCCATTGACAACTAAAACAAATTTTTAAAAAAGGTACTATTTTCATTGGCTTGACTTTATATGATTAAGATCATGGCTAAAATTGTTGATTTTAATTGTCTATAAGAGTTTTTAAAAGCCTTTAGATTAAAATAGGGGTCAGTGCTTTCTCAAGTCTGATCTATTGCAAAAGGCCAGCATTAGAAGCACATGCACAAGCTTTTCCTTATAGATAGTATTATCTTTTATTAACATTAAATAAATGTTTCTTTAAAGGAAACTCTTCAAGTTGAAGAAGATGATAGACCTGAGTTACCGTGGTGGAAATGTAAGAAGTGGGCTTTACATATTTTAGCAAGACTTTTTGAAAGGTAATCTTTTCTCTGATTTGGTGATTTCAGTTTATTTTTTAAAGCTTTTGTTTTTATAAGTGCAGATTTAAAGGATTATAAAGAAATAATGGGCATGTTAATGTTTTGTTAGATATGGAAGTCCTGGCAATGTTTCCAAGGAATATAATGAATTTGCCGAAGTATTTCTGAAAGCATTTGCTGTTGGTGTCCAACAAGTAAGTCTCAGATAAGTTTTCCTAAGTAGAAATATTTTACTTTAAAGTTAATTTCTGTCTTGCTTATTTCTAGTTTTCTTTCCATCTGAAGGCTGCATGTTTGAACCCTATAGCAATTCTCAAACATTTTTTTGGTCTGAGGACTTCTTTCTGATCTTTAAAACATTACTCAGGAGCGTTCATTTACAAGGTTACTTACCGATATCTATCATTATAATTGAAAACAAAATTGAATAGATAAGTGGGGCATGATGGCACACACCTATGGTTCCTGTGACTTGGAAAGAAAAGGCAAAAAGATCACTTGAGCCCAGAAATTCAAGACCAGTCTGGGCAAGATCCAACAACATCCATTATTACATTTTAATATAAAAAATTTGTCTTCAGTAAAAAATAGCTATTTTCCAAAATGAAAATGTTTTAGAAAGAGGACTTATTGTCTCTTACACATTTTTTTTTCATAAAATTTTTAATAGAAAGGACCTAGATATTTACCTGCTTCTGTATTCAGTCTGTGTTAATTCACTATGGTTGACATTAAAAATAAAATATTGGCCTCATGGGTATGAAGCTGAAAAATGGAAGTGTAATAGACTTCAGATAATTATGGAAATTTAAAAAAGTCTCACCAAAATTTGACTACACATTTCTTCCAAGTTCATTGCAATATGGAGTTTCTAAAGTGGCTGGGTGTGGTGGTACACTTATATAATCTCAGGCTGAGAGAAGGATCACAAGATCAGAGCTAGTCTCAGTGAGGCAACTTAGTGAGACCCTGTCTCAGTACTTAGACAGAACTCAGTGATAAAGCACCCTGAGTTTAATCCTCAGGACTCAAAACAATAATAACAAAAACTTTTTAACAGTGAATATTTTCCATTAAAATATTTTGGTGTATATTGCAGTCTGAGTCTCTTATTTACACACGATTTTATAACATCTTGGACTTGGCATTTGAAAAGTGTTTATTCATTGAGTTAGTGCAGGCTTTGCAAATGTAATCACCTCACTGTACAATTTCAAAAGAAACCATGCTTGTTTATATCACCACTAGTCTTAGCATATATATCTTTTCTGTTGGAAAGCTCTCAAGCTAATGGTGGTGAATCCAGGATGCCTAGAATTCTAATTTTTGCTTGAAAACTGAAATTTAAACGGTAACATGTTGTCAGTTATTTCTTTCAAGTGACAGGATTATTTTATTTTAGGGAAAATTCTGCCATATGCACAAGTCTAATAACCGTAATTTGTTTTTTAGTTCTTTCTATCATAAAATTGTCTTTCATGCAATGAGTAATTATTTTAGTTTGCCTTTCAGTCTCAAATAGCTTTTCTTCCTACCTTTGTACTTTGTAATATGGCAGGTGACCTCTATGTGTACTTTCTCATTTAATAATTTAGTAATTATAATTTTTTCTGGTTCATCAGAGACATTCTTAAGGAAAACTTGTTCTACATGTATGTGGTTTAGTGCTACTTCCTTGATTCTTTTAGGTATCAAGGAACTTTAGTTGATTGATGCAAATGTCAGCTCAGTTTAAAAAGAAGGGCATATAGCATTTTGGCGTTATTATGAAATAGCTTTAATTTCTTGGGTCCTCTGATGAGAATCTTCTTAGGATTCACAGAAGTCTGAATCATAATGAAAATTGATGTTGTGAAATATCAATTAGAGTTAGAACTCTTGACCACAGTTAAATAGGTGAGTGGTTTGGTAGGTTTTCCTAGAAGATGCTCAATAAGACAGGGCTATCCCAGAATATTGTGGTAATTCAATAGGCAGCATATGTTTTTCATTGTATACTGAATCAGAAACTAGGCCTTTGATATATTTTCACTTAAATTTGTTTATGAAATAAATGCCTTGGGAGTAAATGTGTTTCTTCACATAATTTCAAAAATTACTACTTATTAAATGAATTTGGTTGTTAGTTTTAATGATGATCTGGCCATTAAGGTAAATGTCATATTGGGCTGGAGATGTTGCTTAGTGCTAGAACACTTGTCTAGTATTTGTGAGGCCCGTGGTTCAATCCCCAGAAATGCAAAGGTAAAGAAATAATGTCAGATTATTTTATTTCATAAGTGGTTAATTTTTATTTGAACTTCAGTTTTTAATGGAACTTTTTTTCCCTCCCAAAGGTTTTATTGAAGGTGTTATATCAGTACAAGGAGAAGCAATACATGGCTCCTCGAGTTTTACAACAGACATTAAATTATATAAACCAAGGAGTTTCCCATGCCCTTACCTGGAAGAACCTGAAGCCTCATATACAAGTAATATTTTTGTACCTGCAGTGCTTTTCGTAAATATAATAGAAGTAACATTAATTTCCACAAAGTTTGAAAATTTGTGTTTTTTAATTTTTTTTCCTATTGTAGTTCTGTTGATTATTTTGATTGTATATTAGTAAAAGGAGAGATTGTTTTCCAGGATAATTGGCTGACCTACTATAAGTAATTTATTTGTTTATTTGTTTTTACAGCTGCAGGATTTCAGAGACTTAAAATTTTAAATTGAATTCCTTCAGAATACTTAATGTGTACCTATATATGCATGTCTTATTTTATAATCACTTCTTACAGAAAAGGTAAAAACTTTTAGTTGATCTGGAAGTGCATTAGTAAAGTTTGTATTAAACTTTAAAACACACCAAGTGTTGTGGTGCATGCATGTAATCTCAGGAAGGCAAAGGCAGAAGGATCCTAACTTTAAGGGCAGTCTTGGCAATTAGTAAAATCCTATTTCAAAATCAAGAAAGGACTGGGGATATGGCTCAGTGGTAAAGTACTCCTGGGTTCAATCCCCAGTACAAGAAAATAAAATTCATGTCATATTTGGCACACACTCATAATCCCATCCTGTCTGGAGTTTGAGACAGGAGGATTTGTTTGAGGCCAGCCTCAGCAAATAAGTGAGGCCCTAAGCAATTTAGCAAGACCCTGTCTCAAAACAAAAAATTGAAAAGCATTGGGGATGTGAGTCAGTGGTTAAGTGCCCCTGGGTTCAGTCCCTGGTACCAAAATAAACACACACACACAGTTATTTATTTCTTTTAGTACTTAAAGGAGATTTGTCAGTTGAAATTTGAAAGCTAAAGGCTATTACTTTTCTTAATTTTTAATTTGCAGGGCATTATCCAAGATGTTATTTTTCCATTGATGTGCTATACAGATGCTGATGAGGAACTTTGGCAAGAAGACCCTTATGAATATATACGCATGAAATTTGGTGAGGAATTTTAATTTTTAGAAACAATATGTCATAGTAAAAGTTAAAGTGATTATCTGTAGCAAACCAAAGTGATGTTATAGCCTTATCTTTGGTTCTATCAAACAACAGTTTATCCCTTCTTAAGATGATTCATTAATTATAACATGATAATTTTTATTTTTAGGAGACATAAATTGTAGGTGTTAAATTATTTAGTTATGAGGATTGCATGTGCTTCTGACACATGCCAAAACTGTTAGATAGTCAAGATTACTCCTTAACACTAAGTGTCTAGCCTGTGCTTTTAGATCCAATGTCAGTCATAATATGTGAGGGAATTAAAAAGATGCATACTGAAACCTGGAGTAACCTGGAGTAAACCTGGAGTACTTCCTGCATAAAACTAAAGAATTATAATTTGGCTAATGTTGAGTTTTTGTCCTTTTTCCTACCAGAATACTCTGTACTTTTGCCAACCCTATTTTGAACATTCCTATAGTGTTTTGTGTGAAAGAATTTTTTAGGAGAATTAGATGTGTTACCATTTAATTTGTTTAAAAAGATTAAGATTAATTTTCTTATTTACTTTATATCAGATATAGAAAATTTTAAATGCCCTTTTTACACGGCATAACCTATAAATTACTTATTATTAAATTTAAAAAGAAATTTTTTTAGTTGTCAATGGACCTTTATTTATTTATTTAGTGTGGTACTGAGATTTGAACCTAGTGCCTAACACATTCTAGGCAAGCGCTCTACCACTGAGGTACAACCCCATCCCTGAAAATGTTTTTTGATGAAATTAAAATTATTGTTTTCTATTGTAATTTTAAATTTGTTTTCCAGATGTATTTGAAGATTTCATTTCTCCTACCACTGCTGCCCAAACACTTTTGTTTACAGCCTGTAGTAAGAGGAAAGAAGTAAGTTATTTAATTTGCAGATAACTTTTGCTACAGTACCTAAAATCTGTTCAGATATACTCAGTTACAAATGCCAGACATGTTAGTCATTTGTTAAGTGTATTTTTAAAGAGCATTGGAGTAAAGTATTACTTATCTCTCAATCTAGGTACTACAGAAGACTATGGGATTTTGTTACCAAATTCTTACAGAACCAAATGCTGATCCTCGAAAAAAAGATGGAGCCTTACATATGATTGGCTCTTTAGCTGAAATACTTCTGAAGGTATTTTTTTTTTTGAATGTGTGTCTTATGTAGGTAGTTCATTTAAATTAACATGTTTATTGAGGTACAGTAAACATATGGTGCAGTTTGCCTGTTTAAAGTATACAGTTCAGTGGTTTTTAGTTATATTCAGAGAATTATACAATCATTACCCCTGGATAATTTCAAACATTTTCATTAATCCCAAAAGAAACCATGTGGACATTAGCAGTCTTTCCCCATTTCATCCCAAACCTCCTAGCCCTATGCTTCTCTTTGTGTACAATTGCGTCTGGATTTGTTCTGGATATGTCATATAAATGGAGGTGTAATGTATGGTCTTTGGAGAGTTTTCTTTCATTTTGTATATATGCAGGGTTCATAATGTAGCATTTGTCAGTTCTTTTTGTTGGTACATTTTGTTGAAATTTTGCATTTCATTTGTTCATTCATCAGTTGGTGAACATTTGCTTTGTTTTCACTTTTGAATATTATGAAAAATGCTATGAATATTTGTGTACAATTTTCTATGGGGATACAGGTTTTTATTTCTTTGGGGTATGTACCTAGGAGTTTAAATTGGTGGTCATAGTTGAGAAACCACAGGATTCTTTTCCAAAGTGGGTATATCATTTTATGTTTCTACCAGCACTGTATGAAGGTTTTCATTTTTCCACATTCTTACCAGTACTTATATTCTTTTTTATTATGCCATTTTAGTTAACGGGAAATGACATCTCATCATGGTTTTGATTTCCATGTTCCTGACGGCTAATAGTTTGAGAATATTTTTTTTCTTTTTTAAACAGAGAGAATTTTTTAATTTTAATATTATTTGTCAGTTTTTGGTGGACACAACATCTTTATTTTATTTTATGTGGTGCTTAGGATCAAACCCAGCGGCCTGTACATGCCAGGTGAACGCATTACTGCTTGAGCCACGTCCCCAGCCCAGTATGAGAATCTTTATTGGCCATTTGTCTGGAGAAATGTCTATTCAAATCATATTTCCCTCTTCCCATTTATTTATTTATTTATTTATTTATTTATTTATTTATTTATTTATTTATTTATTTGTTTGTTTATTTTTACATCGTTTTAAACACCTTTATTTATTTTTATATGATACTGAAGATCGAACCCAGGGCCTCAACACGTGCTATGTAGCGCTCTACCACTGAGCCTCAGCCCCAACCCTCTCTCTCCCTTTTAATTGGATCATTTTTTAAAAAAATATTTTTAGTTTTACATGAACACAGTACCTTTATTTTGTTTAGGGTTTTTGTGTTTTTTTTTTTTTTTAATGTGTTGAGGATTGAACCCAGTGTCTCATGCAAGTGCTCTACGATTGAGCCATTACCCGAGTCCAGGTCATTTGTTTTTTACTATTGATTAGTTAGAGATCTTAAATACTAGACGCTTGCTTGCTTGCTTATTTATTTTTGCCTATGTAAATGCTCTATTAGCTTTCATGATCAACTGAGATACAAAAACAGAATTATGGTTTATAGATAGAGTTTAGATTTTGGTTAATTGGCTTAGAGTAGTTGCTGGAACTTGGGATCCTCCTTAGTCAACCTCTTGACAGCTGGATTTTTATGTCTGGGCCACCACATCTATCTCCCTTCGTGATGTCCTTTAATGTTTCAATAGGATTTTGATACGATATCCAATTTATCTACATTTTCTCTCCTTGCTTTTGTTGAAGATATTTGTTTTCATATGAGGTTTTGTGCCCATATACCCACTAGCTACTGGCATACTGGGGTTTGAACCCAGGGATGCTTTACTACTGGCTGTGTCCCCAGCCCTTTCTATTTTGTTTGAGACTGGGTTTCACTCAGTTATCCAGGCTAGAACTTGCAGTCTTCTTGCCTCACCCTCCTGAATTGCTGGGATTACTGGTGTGGCAACTACATCAGGTTGAGTTTTGTTCTGTACATATTGCAGGATAGTTGTTAAAGAATGTTTTTCTTCTAAAATTTATGCATCTTTAGGACAATTTGCAAACATGAAACATCCATTTGCAAGTTTTCCCACTGAATCTTTAATGTTCATTTGATGTGCAGTTCAAGGAATTCTTCTAAAACCATTGTTAACCATTTGGGAAATATTGAATTTTAGATTTATGAAAGTATCTTTCTTTTTTTGGTGGTGGTGCAGCTACTGAGGATTGAACTTAGGATGCTTTACCACTGAGATACATCCCGAGCCCTTTTTATTTTTTGAGACAGGGTCTTGCTAAGTTTCTTAGGCCTCAAAAAATTGCTGAGACTAGCCTTGAACTTGTGATCCTCCTGCCTTAGCCTCTTAAATTGCTGGGATTACAGGTGTGTGCCACCACTCTTTGCTCAGAAAAAACGATATCTAGTTTATAGTTTGAGAGCAGGATATTTCTCTAGCTATATATGTTCAGTTAGATACTATACAGAGAGGTTGTTTCGTTAGAAAAGTTTCATGAGAAAAAAGTAAGAAGTAAAGTTAACTTTGTTGTCATTAAACACCATTTTTATAAAAATTTGGTCTAATAGCTTGTTTGCCATTTTGTTTTTAAACCTTGGGTTGGGCAAGGTAGGCCTCAGTAATCATATTGAAATTTTTATTTTTTGTGGTGCTAGGAATTGAATCCAGGACCCAGCACAGCACATGCTAGGAAAGTACTCTAACCATTGAACTACACTCCCAGACTTCTAATTACTTTCTAATGAGGTGATTTTAAACATATAAGAATGTATTGGGGCTTTGGTTTCAAGGGGTCAGAGGATTAAAGTAAATGTATGTTATGACATTAATAGTCAATGTTCTATCTACTTGGAAATCGAAATGATGGTATTTGGAACTATATCCAAATAATTGTTTATATTTACAGAAAAAGATTTATAAGGACCAGATGGAATACATGTTGCAGAATCACGTATTCCCTCTCTTCAGCAGTGACCTAGGCTACATGAGAGCAAGGGTATGTTTCCAAGCTGTAATATTTTTTATATGTATATCCTGTAATAAATGATTGTGGGTTTTTACACTTAAAAGTTTTGAATGTTTTACTTCAAAAGCTATGTTTCATGTAGGATGTCTGTTTAATGTAAATCTTTAAATGGCTGCTATAATGTGTGCATGGTTTTCATCTGTGTCTGGTAGCAATGTCTGTCTGTGTTTTGCATTCAGATCTTGCTATCCACACAAATGTATTGTAGCCAAAGAGTAACTTGGGATCATAGTACTGGTCTAGTGTTGTCTCTTTGGACATATCTACCACTGGCCAGCCTCCAAATTCCCATACATTGAACTCTAAAAAGAGATTAGCTTGGGGGAATTTGGTGTATGATATTTATAGTCATTGTGCTTTTTTTTAAAAGGCTTGCTGGGTACTTCACTATTTTTGTGAGGTGAAGTTCAAAAGTGATCAGAATCTCCAAACCGCCTTAGAGCTGACAAGAAGATGTCTGATTGATGATAGGGAAATGCCTGTAAAAGTGGAAGCCGCCATTGCACTTCAAGTGTTGATTAGCAATCAAGAAAAAGGTAAAGGATTTGCATGTGAAAAATACCGAATTTCTTTTTGCCTAATTGTACAATTCTTATTCTTAGGAAGTTAACACCTTTTTTTTCTTCTTTCTTCTTTTGTGGTGCTCCAGATTGAACCCTGCACCATGCTGGGCAAGGACTCAAACACTGAGATATATCCCCAGTCATATTATACTTCCTTTTTATGTGAAAGTACTCTTTTTTACATGTTGTGTCAGGATTCTAAAAGATATAATTGCTTTACAAAAGAAGGGTTTTTTGTTTTTTTTTTCTCTTACAGCTAAAGAATACATCACACCATTTATCAGACCTGTAATGCAGGCCCTTCTTCATATTATAAGAGAAACAGAAAATGATGATCTTACCAATGTAATTCAGAAAATGATCTGTGAATATAGTGAAGAAGTTACTCCTATTGCAGTAGAAATGACACAACATTTGGTATGTTTGGATTACCATTTTTTGTAAGCATTTAAATTTAGCTCGCAGTAGGTTCCAGTTAATGTGTTACAAGTACCTTGACTTAGATTTGAAACAAATATTTTATGGAGCTTAATAGGTAGGATGTAGGGTTTTAAGCCCCTTGACAGCTATTTTAACTCATTTAATTTTCATACAGACCTGGGTAAAGATTATACTATTTTACAGATACAAAATATAACAGGTAAAAGTTTATATAACTTGCCCACATTGGATATGGTAGGGCTTGGATTTATACGTAGGCCTTCACCGTACTCTTTGTTTTTTAATTTTTTTATGATCTTGGGGATTGAACTCGGATGTTCAACCACTGAATATCCAGTCATTTTAAATTAATTAATTAATTAATTTGTAATTTTTTTCTTTTGAGGCAGAACCTTGCTAAGTTGAACAGATTGGCCTTGATCCTCCTGCCTCAGCCTTCTGAGTAGCTAGGACTACCAGGCTTTCACCTTTGAGCACAGATTAAGCCATTCATATTAATGAAAATATTCATAATATTGAGTACATTCTATAACTTGTCTCCTTTTTGAGAAAGTGTGAGTAACTGGAGCTCGAACCTAGCTAGGGTGCTCTACCTCTAGCTGCACGCTCAACCCTTTTCTTTTACTTTGCTTTGTTTCATTTTTCAGTTCTGGGCATTGAACCTGGGGACGTTTTACCATTGATCCATATCCCCATCCCTTTTTATTTTTTATTTTGAAACAGGATCTTGATAAGTTGCTGAGGCTGTTCTTAAACTTTTGGTCCTCCTACATCAGTCTCTTACGTTACTGGGAGTATAAGCATGCAATACTGTGTGCCCAGGTTTTATGTCATTTTTGAGACATGATCCTGTTAAATTGGCCAGGCTAGCCTTAAAACTTGAAATCCTCCTACCTCAACCTCCTGGGTCATTTGGATTACAATTGTATATCACTGCACCTGGCCACTTGTTTCTTTTAATCTTCACAGTATTTCTGTGAACTTCCCAAATTGTCATGTCAAGAAAAGTCTAGGAAGGGAGTTCAAGTAAGCTTGTTTCAGGTCACCCTATGAGTGATGGAGCAAGACCATTTGATTATAGAGCCTACACTGTTAATTATTCATTAATTTGGAGGCATTGATTTCTTCTGCATTTCCAGTGAGAACATTTTAAAAATAAAAGTGTTGCGGGCAGGGCAGGGTGGGATTGGAGGGGGAAAAAACACCTGCAAACTAAAATAGTGTTAAGACTACCGTATAGTGTTTAATTGACAAACCTAAGTTGCATTCTTTTGGGTCTAGGCAATGACGTTTAACCAAGTAATCCAGACTGGTCCAGATGAAGAAGGAAGTGATGACAAGGCAGTTACCGCCATGGGAATTCTCAATACCATCGATACACTTCTTAGTGTAGTTGAAGATCATAAAGAGGTAAGAAATGATTCATTCTGGAATAGGTTTTATGCACTGTCATTTTATACTGAATGTGCTATAATTTTTGGAGGGCATGACCTGAGATGACTCTATAATCATCCCATCTACTTTGACTTTGCATTTTTAGTAAAAAAAAAAATGTTTTGGTAAAATATGTATAACATAAAATTTGCCATCTTAGCCATTTGTAAGTGTACAGTTTACTGATATTGAGTGCTTCAAATTGTTTTGCAAGCATCACCACAGTCTTTCTACTTATCTTTTTAAAATATATTTTTATTTTTTTATAGTTGTAGATAGACACAATACCTTTATTTTATTTTTATGTGGTGCTGAGGATTGAGCCCAGTACCTCATACATGTGAGGCAAACACTCTGCCACTGAGCCATGATCCCAGCCCTTCTTACCTATCTTTTTTTTTTTTTCGGTTGTCTTTTAGAAAATTAAGGGAACTATAATCATGGATTTTTAAAAATTGAATTATTTCAAACATCCAGAAAAAGATAAACCATAGAGAAAACTATAGCTGATACTACCTAATCACTACCAAATATTATTGCATTTAATCATTTGTATATTATGTTTGGATTTTACTTTCAGGAAAAACAATTTCAGATGATTTGGGGTGGGGTTTTTTTGTTTTTTATTTTATTTTATTTTTTTGTGGTGAGGAGTGTTGAATGCACGACCTTGTATATGTAAGGCATTTTGTCTGCTAGTGTGCTTACATACAGCCCCAGCAATTTCAGTTAGATGTAGTTGAATCCCTCAGGGGATTGCTTCCTAATCTCCTTTCCCTCCTTCTGTCCTTCCTCTAAAATCAATTACTGTCGTGAATTTGGAGGAATAAATTTTGGTGTAGATGTTTCTATAGGTTATCTTATCCATAGCTGTGTGTTTTTAGATCTCTGCCTTTTGAAGCTTGAGATTTCCAATAAACCATTGTTGTATTCCCTATTAAAATAGAATATAGGCAGAAGACATCAGAAATCTTATAGCTGCTTTAACAAGTAGATTATTTTGAGGAATTGAAGATGTATTGCATAATATGTATTTGAAATGGCTATTTTGCTTCTTTTTGGGGGGTTCAAGTACTGGGATTGAATTCAGGGGCACTGGACCACTGAGCCACATCCCCATCCCTATTTTGTATTTTATTTAGAGACAGGCCGTTTCTTAGTTGCTTAGCAACTCACTTTACTAAGGCTAGCTTTCAACTTATGATCCTTCTATCTCATTCTCCCGAGCTCCTGGGATCACAGGCACGTTGCATCGCACCCTGCTCTTATTATAATTTTGAGGTGTGGTCTTGCTAAATTGGTGAGGCTGGTCTAGAACTTGGGATCCTTCTCCCTCAACTCTTTGAGTCTGTGAATGCAGGCATGTACCACCATGCTCAGTTTATCTCCTTGTATACCTGATTAGTAGGAAAATATTTAATCTCCAGAATGTTCTTTTAACATTCTGATGGCTGTCAAAGATTTGTGGTTCTTTTGAAGGCCATACTGAAAATTAATGATGAGTCAGTTATTTTCTATTAATTGTGATTGTGACGGGGAGCCCGAGTTCATCTCCTTGGTTCACTGATATAATTTGAAAAACAGCAGTGACTTCAAAATTATTGAGATTGGTAGCAACAATGATTTCCTTCAGATTATTTCTCGTGTGACTTTTTGGTTACCTCTGGACTGAAGGAGTCAGTGCTTAACACACAAAAAAGTACCTCTAGGTGCCAGGAGCAATGACACTTGCCTGTAATTCCAGCACTCAGGAACTTGGGGCTGAGACAGGAGGGTTGCAAATTCAAAGCCAGCTTTGGCAAATTAGTGAGACCCTATGCAACTTAGTGAGACCCTGTCTCAAAATAAAAAATAAAAAGGTCTGGGGATGTGACTCAGTGGTTAAGAACACCTGGGTTCAATCCCCAGGACCAAAAAAATTCAAAACCTATAGGTTCTCTTCAGAGTAGTTATATTGCATATCCCAGTATGCAAATTATAACCTTTCAGTTTTTAGTAGATGAATCAAGTTATTTGTGTTTTTTCACTATTTGTGTTTTTCATTTGTGTTTTATCATTTTTTAATGATATTTCATCAAATTTCAATCTCAGATTGGTTTATAGTTTCATAATATGCATGTCAATTCATAACAACATGATTTAACAACGTGCTTTCATATAGAAATGTAGTGGGTTATTGTATATTATCTTAACAATTTATTAAATGTGCTATAATTCCATATGATTTTTTTGTCCCCCTTCTTTTTTAGATAACCCAGCAACTTGAAGGGATCTGCTTACAGGTCATTGGTACTGTTTTACAGCAGCATGTCTTAGGTATCATTACACATATTGTACTAAGAATTTAGTGCCATTCGCATTGGTAAACATTTTCCTAATGACTTAGTATTCTCTTTTAGAATTCTATGAAGAGATCTTCTCTTTGGCTCATAGTTTGACATGTCAACAAGTATCTCCACAGATGTGGCAGCTACTGCCCCTTGTATTTGAGGTCTTTCAGCAAGATGGCTTTGATTACTTTACAGGTAAGTCTAATTAGCATGAAAATACTGAAAGTTTCACCTTTCCCCCCGGGTTGATTGATTCATTTATAGCGTATCATTTGGTTATATACTTTTAAATGCTCCAACTTCTTCATTGGTTGGGTAAGTTATCATTAGTAGTTAATGCTCAAGGACAACACATAGTATTGATTTCTGTTTTATATTTTGACTTAGTTATTTTAGGTTTGCTCTTTTAGTGCCCCCATAGCTATTTTATGTATGATTATTTGTGTGTTTGTTTTACTATTAAATATGAAGGAATACAATTAAGAAATAGGTTCCTTTCTGCATTAAAATTGAATACATTTTTACTAAAATTGAATGACAGAAAATGGGCGTCATGATGTTTACTTGTATTCCCAGTGTCTGAGAAAGCTGAGTAAGGAAGATAGTAAGTTTGAGGCCAGCCTTGTCAAATTTTAGATCACCCTGGACCAAGTTGGGAGACCTTGACTCAAAATACAGAGGGCTTGGGATGTAGCTTAGTGGTAAAAACTCCTTTAAGTTAAATCCCCCATACTAGAAGTTTAAAAAAAAAATAGATCATCTGATTTCACAGATTTGCCCTTTTCTAAGGAAAATTTTCAGAAGATAAAGCATTTGTATTAGTAAACATGTATAACTATGCTTTTTATTAATACAGACATGATGCCTCTTCTGCATAATTATGTAACAGTTGATACAGACACACTTCTATCTGATACCAAGTATCTTGAGATGATATACAGTATGTGCAAAAAGGTAGGTCATTTTAAGGTAATATTAGATCTTACAAGTTTGCTCCTATACAATTATGAGGATACATTTGATATCACATTATGAAAAACATGGTGAGCACGTGGGTCTGATAAAATCAAAGGGTTTAAAGGCTATGAACACTCAGGCGTGGTGATGCACATCTATAATCACAGCAGCTTGGGAGGCTGAAATCAGAGGATTATAAATTTAAGGCTAGATTCAGCTAGTAAGTGTGGGAGACCAACCTTACACGTGACTGGGTACTGAGGCATTCAGTCACAGAAATGTGGCAGAGCTTTCCCCACCCTTCTTGGAAGTGCCTTATGTGGGTCACCTTGTCTTACTGTGCCCTTGGATGTGGCCTACCCAGGTGTCAGTCAACCTACTGACAGTGAACATCATGAAGATAGACTCAGCCCTCTGAAACCTGACCCCTTGCCTCATTTAAATAACTTTCCTCAATAAAAAGGGTCAGCTCGTGCTCTCCCTCTCTCTCTTTCTGCGGACCCTTAAGGTCAGAGGAGCCATCACAGCAAACCCAAACAAAAAGATATTTGTGTCTCTTGTGTGGTTATTTTGCACAGCCCAGTCAGCCCAGTTTTACTGGAGTACCCTGAGCCTTTTAGTCTTGAGAAGAGAAACCCGGCAAGAAAGGCTCTAAACCAAGTAGTGAGACACTGTCTTTAAATAAAAAAGAACAAGGCCTGGAGGTGTGCAGCTCACGAGTAAAGCATCCCTCAGTTAAATCCCCAGTACACCCGACTCCCTGAAAAAAGTTCAAAAAAACTTTGTTTTCTAGATTACCTAGTAATGACTTTAGCATGCACATGTCTTCTGTATGGTTTCTGACATTTACTTACTTAGAGTTACAAATGTTTTGATTTTTAGAGTGTCTGGGGTTTACTTTAACTTAGTTCTGTGGAAACTAAAGAAGGAAAGAATCAATAGCTTGAGATTTTTTGAAAGAATTAGGAATAGTAGACAGATGTTAATTGTTTAATTTTTTTTTTTTAGTTAGAGTCGGATAGAGATGTATAAAGGAAAGAAATACTTGGAGATTGTAGGTTTCTAGAGGTTAGAAAGTAAAAATACTATTCTTACAACATGGGTAGGGGGATAAATTTTTACTTACAGTTTGATTGGGGAGACATGTGTTTGGGGGGCTGGTGATATAATTCATACTATTTGAATTTCTAACAGTTTTTGTTAAGAAGTAGCCCCACAATAAAAAATGATTTTGCTGCCACGTATGGATGTAATTCAAGCTACTGATGAGATTGAGGAAGGAAGATTGCTTGAGCCCATGAATTCAAGGCCAGCTTGGGCATCAACCTTAGTGATAATCTGATTTACGAAGGGGAAAAGTATTTTTGTCAAGAAGGTTTTAGATATGCTTGTCTTTCACTTAATATTTTTCCCTTTTGACCTCTTGTTCATACAGTAATTCTTTAGTTGTGTTATTCATTTATTGCCAGTTATCTTGTCTATATTAATATTATGGTAAAAGAGATAATACTCTTACAATCTAGTTTGTTATTCCAGAACACTTATCTGTACATTTACAGTTTTCTAATATTAAGTACCATGTCATGTCCATATTCTTTAGTTCTTATCTGCCGTTTATAAGCCAGTGGTTGCCATCAATAGGATATTTCTTCCTCCTTCATCCTACAGCACCCCAACTCATCATTTTTCATTTTTTGAGACAAATGTTTTGTCTACAAATAGCAGCATTTGTGTAATTCTTAACAGAAGAGTCAGTACCCTGAGAAAGATTAAGTGTTTTAGCTTCTACCTTTGTGTGAGAAGGTACTGGTTCATATCCTGTTTTAATCCAGAATGGCATTTCTGGATAGATTCTTTGATCACTAAGAGCAGGACACCAGAAGGCTAGACTATATGACAAGTTTAAATTCTCAGGTGTTGTAGTTTAGTCTCTACGATGAACATTGTAATCATTCAGAACTACTCAGAAAGGAAAAGAAATAATTTCTGATGTAAACATTTTCATGAAACCTTCTTGGAATTTATATTCTTTGTTGATCAGGTTCTTACAGGAGTTGCGGGAGAAGATGCAGAATGTCATGCAGCAAAATTGTTAGAGGTCATCATTCTACAATGCAAAGGGCGTGGCATTGACCAGGTCAGTAAGGGTAACTGTGTGTAGATTGCTGAGATTGAATCCAGAGCCTCATGTATGCTAGGCAGACAGTCGACTTTTGAATTTCATTTCATCCCCAGCCCAAGGCTAACTTCTAATGCTTTTATTTGGAACTTCAGAGAATAAATCTATTTTTTACATATTTTTCTCCTTTTGGCATTTACAACATATTGTGATACACTGTTGTGTACCATAGCATTTATTTTCACTGTTGGTGTAAAATTTAACCAATATATATTAATGAACATATATTTAATATGTTGAAAATACAAGTATTGAAGTTTCATGCGTACTTTGTTATGCTAGGTAAATATTGGCTTAAGATTTCTGACAGCTTTAGTAATTAAATGAGCCTAAAGGGTTAGTTGAGGCAACAGTTAAGTTAATATGGATAGAATAGTTAGGGTGCTATTCATTTCAGTCTTGGACTACCTTGTAATCTTTCTTTACAGTGCATTCCCTTATTCGTGGAGGCAGCTTTAGAGAGACTGACGAGAGAGGTTAAGACAAGTGAACTTCGAACAATGTGCCTGCAAGTTGCAATTGCAGCTTTATATTATAATCCGCACCTCCTACTCAACACCTTAGAAAATCTTCGCTTCCCTAATAATGTTGAGCCAGTTACAAACCATTTTATTACACAGTGGCTTAATGATGTTGACTGTTTCTTGGGGTAAGTAACATGAATTGGACCTTTATGAAGAACTCTTGTTTATTTAAGAAAATAGAGGAAAATTATTTTTTTTATATTATTTTTTTAGGCTTCATGACAGAAAGATGTGTGTTCTTGGCCTCTGTGCTCTTATTGATATGGAACAGATACCACAAGTTTTAAATCAGGTTTCTGGACAGATTTTGCCAGCTTTTATCCTTTTGTTTAATGGATTAAAAAGAGCGTATGCCTGCCATGCAGAACATGAAAACGACAGTGATGATGATGATGAAGCTGAAGATGATGATGAAACTGGTAAGAGATTTGTGGTGAATTTCAGCAACACATATATAGTTAAAAAACTACTGGACTTCTTTCTAGTCCTTCTCCCAAAATTTAGGATCATAGCCGGATGCGTTTATAGTTGTTCATTCATAGAAAGACTTCCTTATCTCAGAAGAGTAGCAAAGTCTATAAAGGCAGAATTGTCATCTATGTTTCCTATAAGAGGGAAGTTCCAGGCATTATAGTATGCAATCAATAAAAGATGGTTACTCTGTATTTGTTTGGCATAGCAAATATAGCAAAGAATACATAAGTGATATTAGAAATTATTGCAATTGATGGGTGGGGTTGTGGCTCCGTGGTAGAGCCCTTGCCTAACACATGCAAGGCCCTGGGTTCAATCTTCAACACCACATAAAAATAAATAAATAAAGGTATTAGGTCTAAGTATAACTAAAAAATAAAAGAAATTACTGAAATTGATTCAAGGTAAGATAGGCATTGCAGTTTCTTATCTTTTTCCGCAAGTATTAACTTAGCGAGTCTTGTTTTCCATTTTGGCAGTACCAGGAATAGAACCCAGGGGTGCTCTACCACTTAGCTACATCCCTAGCCCTTTTTTATTTTTATTTAATCTCACAAAAGTTTCTATGGGTGAGGTTGGAGATGTGGCTGAGTTGTATCGCACCTTCCTTGAGGCCCTTGGTTTGATATCCAGCACTGGCCCCCTGCCAAAGTTTCTATGGGTATTACTCAAACTATATAATTTTTTATTGGTATTTAGTTTGAATTTTCATACTAGAAGGCCAAAAGCATATAATGGGCTGCAATCTTCCTTCAAACTAGGTGAGGTGACTCACACCTATAATCCCAGAGGCTGAGGCAGAAGAATTGAAAGTTAAAAGCCAGCCTTAGCAACTTAGTGAGATCCTTTTCAAAAAAAATACAGGCTGGAAATGTGGCTCAGTTGTAAAGCGCCCCTAAGTTCAATCCTTGGTACTTGTACTACCCCTTGCACACACCCCCCCCCAAAAAAAAATCATCTCTGGTGTTTAGAATAACAAGACATGGTTGGGTTTCTTGGACATGCATGAGAAGTTATTATTCTGTCTGTTGCTAGACATGGGTTTAAACACCAATTCCTGGAACTTTTCCTTGACTTTATTAATGAATTATAATTCGCTGAAAATGGTAAGCGATTGTCACTTTGAGTAACAAACTATTTCAGTATTATATTTATGACTTGGCAGAGGAACTAGGGAGTGATGAAGATGATATTGATGAAGATGGGCAAGAATATTTGGAGATTCTGGCTAAACAAGCAGGTGAAGATGGAGATGATGATGATTGGGAAGAAGATGATGCAGAGGAGACTGCTCTGGAAGGCTATTCCACAATCATTGATGATGAAGACAACCCTGTTGATGAGTATCAGATATTTAAAGCTATATTTCAAAGTAAGTCAGCTTATCACATATAGAACTTTCATTAAACAATCTGTCCCTTAATGAAGAGATTAATTAAAGTATCCAAAATTATTTATGATGATGCCGTCAAGTTACTGAGTATTCTGTCCTCTTCCTCTTATTTTTCCATTTAGTTTATAATTTTTGAAAGATGTACATTCTAGAATATAGTGTATTTCTTAAAAGTTAAGTACAGTGACAATTCCTCTTTCTTCTGATTCTCAGTCTTTCAATTTTCCTCAATTGTTCTTCCAAGTTTATATCTATTCAGTGTTTATGTATTTTTGCATCTCTTAATCAATTCATTCTGTTATTACAGAATTAGCAATTCTAATTAATCAATTTTAGGCTTCAAGCAGCTAATTTAACCACCCAAATTTGGTTGTAGTGATACAGATTTCTCCTGGAATTCTAGATATATCACAGTTATGTGTGGCTATAGAATACAACATGCTATTTTTGGTTAATAGCATCTTTTGCTTGAATTTCAAGGTGTAATGCTTATAGTCCACCACTCATTTTATGAAACTAAATTGCTGATCCCATAGTTCTGTAGTCCCAGCTATTTGGAAAGCTGAAGCAGGAGGATCAAAGTTTGAGTATAGCCTGGGCAACTTAGCAACACCCTGCCTCAAGATAAAAAATACGAAGAGCCTAGGATGTTGCTCAGTGGTAGAGCAACCCTGGATTCAGTCCCCAGTAAGGGGGGGGGGGCGGATTATTTAAATTGCCACTAAATTTGACAGCCCTTCCCCTTCAGGGTTCTCCACTGTTACTTATCATTTCTACATAGGAACTTTGATATGGAATAAATTCTTTCATAACCAAGGTTTAAATACTCGAAGCCCATGAAAGTATTTTTGATGCCAGTTCATAAATAGTTTTCTGAATTAGATGATAACAAGAATTTATTGAAGTGCCAGAACTTCTGGCTTGCTTTGTTTTTTGTTAGGTATGAACAGGACAGTCTCTAAAATATACTTTCTAATACAGCGCCTCTGCACAGTTGAAGTAAAGGAGAAACAGAAGATCTTGTGATTTAGCATTAGGTTTTTGCCCCCCAACTACCTTGCATCCAATACATGTGGATATCACTTTTACATTCTTTACTTGCTCGGCAGTGAAAATTTTTGGGGTAAAACCTATTTTAGACTCTTTTGCTTGCAGATGTGTGTGTGAAATAGGGAAATACTTGCTCAGACCTACCACCATTTTATATTCACTTATGTAGTGTATTTTTTTGGTTGAACATTGTGAGATTTTAACACTTGGTTTTTGTGACATTTGGAAAAAATTCGTTCTGTTCCTCATAGAGTAACCATTTTTTAGGCTATGATATATGATATTGTCATTTTAACTTGAGGATTATGTATATATGCTTTTCTTTTTTCTTTCTTTTTACTGCTTGCCAAATCTGGGGTCTCAGATACTCCAGGAAAGAACTCTAGCAGTGACATAAATCACAAACCAAGTTATATTGAAGAGAGGTTTTTGAGTAGTCAGAGGAAGAAGAAGAAAGCGTTTATTTTGTATTGTTCACCCTTTTTCTTGCATCTGTATTTTCAAGTCATTTAACTCTGAATATTTTACTTTATTTATTTATTTAGGGAACCAGGGACTGAACTCAGAGGCACTTGATCACTGGCCCTCATCCCCAGCCCTATTTTGTATTTTATTAGAGACGGGGTCTCACTGAGTTGCTTAGTGAGTTGCTTTCTAAATTGGTGAGGCTGGCTTTGAACTCGGGATCCTCCTGCCTCAGCCTCCAGAGCCGCTGGGATTACAGATGTGTGCCACTGCACCCAGCTTATTTTATTTTTTATGTGGTGTTAAGGATTGAACCCTCAGCACCTCACAGTTGCTAGGCAAGTGCTCTACCACTTAAATTAATTTTATTATTGAAACGCCCCTAGTACAATACAATAAGAACAATTATGATATTTTTGAAGCACAAAGATGAACTGGAATTAACTGTTTGCCCTATATCTTTTATTCCATAAGTAACTTATGATAACTTTTAAAGTTATTTGGGAGGGCTGGAGATATAGCACAGTTGCTAGAGTGCTTGCCTTGCATGCACAAGGCCCTGGGTTTAATCCTCACCACCACAAAAATAAATAAACACACAAACAAACAAACAAATAAGTAAATAGAAATAAAGTTATTGGGGAGAATTTCATTTTTGGGTTTCAGATAGACAAAACAGAATAGAAAGAATGTATCAGTTGCCCAGCAAGCACAGTGGCACACGCCTGTAATCCCAGCGACTCTGGAAGCTGAGCAGGAGGATCAAGAGTTCAAAGCCAGCTTCAGCAACGGCAAGGTGCTAACCAACTCAGTGAGACCCTGACTCTAAATACAAAATAGGTCTGGGGATGTGGCTCAGTGGTTGAATGCCCCAGAGTTCAATTCCTGGTACCAAAAGAAAAGAAAGAAAATGCTGTCAGTCCTGCGTATTAATGTTTTTTCCTACTTGTTTTTGTTTTGATAGCTATTCAGAATCGTAATCCTGTATGGTATCAAGCTTTGACTCATGGTCTTAATGAAGAACAAAGAAAACAGTTACAAGACATAGCAACTCTTGCCGATCAAAGAAGAGCAGCCCATGGTATGTTAGTCAACCATAATCCCTTTTTGATGTAATTAATGACTTCAAAGGTTTTTTCTTTTAAACATTTTTGTTGTTGTTGTAGATGGACTCAATATCTTTTGTTTTATTTATTTATTTTTATGTGGTGTTTAGGATCGAACCCAGTAGATTACACATGCGAGGCAAGTGCTCTGCCACTGAGCTACAACCTCAGCCAATGATTTATGAAGGAATTTAACATTATATAAAAGGTATATTGTATAATGGTATGTAGGCTATGTGTATAGCTCAGTGGTAGTAGCACTTGCTTAGTATAAGCAAGGTCCTGGATACTCTAGCACAGTCAATCAATCAATCAGTCAACCCAAAAAATCTATTATGGGTGATAAATTTAATCTGAGGGATTTAATACAGGTGATAATTTGGTTTTGACTACATTTCACCTATTTTTAAGTGTAACTGGGATTACTTTCAATATATAGTAGCTTTAATAAAGTTGCTTAAGTTCTTGCTGATATTTTGATTAAAAATATTTTGTTATAAATCCAATATTTTTTTAAACCTCTTTTTTTTT